AAATCAAGGCGCCGAACTCATCTTAAAAAGTGGAATGAATGATTTATTTCCACCGTGAAGTTGACTGGCCCGTCTATAAACTCAGAAGAATTCTTATCCAGTAGCGGATCCAGAACTTAACCCTTTGAGCCCCAGTCACATTTACATGGGTAATCAATAGTCGTGCTCTTTGTACCACTTGTGACGTCATCAACTTAAATGTCATCAGATATTCTTGATAAGCAGATAGTAGTACTAGGCTAGGCCTTTTCGTACAATGGTCAGGTTTAGATATCGACGACATTCCGACGTCGCAAATCGAAAAACGTTATCAGTTTTGGTGCGCAAACGGTGGTAAAATAGTCCACTACGCCTATGATTGATCAAGGTCCATTTCTAGGGTACGCCCGTAATTACCATCCAACTTTTCACGGCAGCCAGAAAGACCATGCAACGCAAAAGGTAGCCAGAGTAAAAGGGCCGAGAAAAAGAGAAAGGAAAGGGGCAACAAACAAAATTGAGAAAGGTTAATGGCAAAAAAAGAAAAAAAAATTTTGGCTTATGCGCATGCCCGGAATTGAATTATTGCTCAATTTTGTACCTAATCCTCGAAAAAATCTCTCTTTTTGGTAAAAAAAAAGCTTTCTTAGTAAAACTCAGGTTTATTTAGCGTTATGGCAGCCAAAAAACCTGACTAAACGGCGACAGTTTGGTATTCAAAGGGTTAAGCTAACAGTCGAAATCGCAATAACGTCCTGATATAGATATGTATTCAACATTCACGCTAACTTTACCACGAACAATTCTGAACAAAAAANCCGGCGGCGGCGGCGGTTTGTTTTCGCTAGCCCTACCGGCTTTTCTTCCTTCTGTGATTCCCCTAGATCGAGACCGGCCAAAGACGAAGTGAGAGGAAAAAAAGGAAAATTACAGAAAACAATATTACTCCTCTGTAATTCCACTAACAACCCAGGATTACCTTCTCCTGCTTTGAATAGCTAGACCATTTAATTTCAGTCTTTATTACCGTAGGTGTACAGAGTTTTCCTAGAAGTCGCGCAGTCCATGTCACCTTTACGTACAAAATTCTCATAAATTACACGTAAGCGTCCGATCGCATTCTAATAAACAGCTAGAGTGAATAGGCCAATTACGACTGATAAAGTAAAATTCTAGCAACGGCGCGTAACCGTTCCTGGGAACGAGGTTAACGTGGGGTCAAGGCTTAGAGGACTAAAAAAAGGAAATTCTTTATTCCTGCCTATATCTTAATGTTATCTTCTGTTTTGCTCCCTAAGCCTCGGAGCAATGTTAGAAAATTAGCCTATTGTTATGTGTAGAAGCTGTGTTTCCACCTTAACTTCTTGAATCTAAGGATGTCGTGCAACACACATAGCGTCATGAAACAATTTCGTAAATTAAGCGTCTAATAGCATTCCAATAAACTAAACAACTTGAGTGAATCATTATCTCAATTCCCTGTGCAAGAGCTGTGCTTCCACCTTAGAAGGAGGTTAACGTGGCGCCGAGGCCTTGGGGACTAAAGTAAAAGAAATTCTACCTCAACTTCATCTTTTGTGTTTCTGCCCTAAGCTTCGGAGCCATGTTAGAATTTTAATTTATCAACACTGGCTTATGGGTTATCTCCAGTTACTGTGTGGAAGCTGTGTTTCCACCTTTAGCTCCTTGAACCTGGTGCAATACACACCAGGTTTACGTTAACAATTTAATTTTATATAAATTAACCGTCCAACAGCAATCCAATAAACAGCTTGAGTGAATCATCATCTCCATTTACTGTGCAGAAGCTGTGTTTCCATCTTAAGCTCCTTGAATCGCTCTTGAATCAGATCAGTGATATGTTTCCGTGTCTCCATCTTTTAAAGAAGTAGATAAGAAATACTTTAAGATATTTCCGTACAAGAACTTATGAAAAGAAAGCACTTTGTCGCCTCTAAAACAAATCATAGTTATCAGGGCGGTTTTCACTTGAGTGTCGAAAAGCAGTTTTCGTTACTACTCTACACGATTGGCTTAAAAAACTCGCGCCAATTTTTGACCCAATCAGAAGTAAAACCAGGACCAGTCGTGAGTCGCTCGCAAACATTTTCCGGCGCTTTGCGTCAGTTACATGTATTTCTTCAAGTTTTGATTGGTTCACTAGATTGTCTGTGTTGTTTATGATTGGCTAGAGTGATAACAGTGGAACAGTACCCTCTCCCCCGTACCCGTTAATACGGCCACCTCGTTATTACGGCCAATTTATTCTGGACCGAACAAAAGTTCAGTCGGTCATTTCCTTATTTGGAGAACCCCTTTAAGGACGGTGTCTACTTTTGTTAGTGCGCACATGTTCTGCGCATCACGCAAGGCATGGTTTAAGTGCCACGCGCGCGCTGGGGTTGACATTGACGCAATCAACTACGCTATCAAGTACACGACTAAAA